GTCTCTTAGCTCTGAACAACGAGACATTATCCTACTCCGATGGGCTAGGTACGAGCATTTGATTCCGTCGCTCGCGACGTTCTTTGAGGACCTGAAGTATCTCGAATCAATTGCCGCGATCCTCAGACTACTCCTCAAACCTCTACGGAAACACTCGTTATGTAAGGCGATGAGGGCTGCTTTCCAACCCATCCAAGGATCGACGCATCAATTGGTATGGGAAGAGGCTTATGCTGGGCTCATTCTCTTTGCCATGCGCTACCTGGAAGAGCTAAGGCCAGGATCACTTAAGCTTGAAAGATCTCAATCACGTATCTCGCAGGAACGTAGCGCGCACACCCTATATCTTTTCGCACAAGAGGCCCACCAGCTGGGCTTTCGATCTGCTTCCATTGAACAAATCTTAGCAACACATCCTGACAGACTTGAGGCGGAGAAAACTCTGAAGCGAGCCAGAGATCCCAGCTTCTGGGCATACGATGGATCTACTTTTGAAGATCATGTCCGACAAATCATGGCGTTATACGACAAAGCCACACGGGTATCTATATCACAGGGAAACCCTCGGATAGTATGCTACGATGAAGGCGAGACTCTAGGTCGGAGATCGGGTCGGCCCTTTTGGCAGGCACACGCGCAGAGCTGTGGATTCTTAGAGTTCAAGAATATAAAGGCCGAATATCCTGATCAACAAGGAGAAGTGACCGCCTTCTACGTACGGCGATCAGTCTACTATTCATTTTTCGAGACTTCAATTGAAATCGACCATCACATCCATCGTCTCAGTGAACAAACTGTTACAGCAAACCCGTCTGGACCAGATATAACCATGAACTCTTCGTCTGCACAGGTGGAGCAACATAGCACTTTAAATTCACCACTACGGTCAATATACGATCTAGGTACTCAGCTCGTCAGAGATCCGCGAAGCTTGTACTCCCCAAGTGTGTACTCTAGGGAAATGGTAAGTCTCTATTGCCTAAGTCTCGCAATGTACGTACTGACGTGATCTTAGGAACTCAGTGACCCAGATGTCATCACTATCAAATTCACCGAATGGGGCGGATCCTTTGAAAAGCGAGTTGAATACCACGTAGGGAAAGAAGAAGATGTAAAGAATATGGCAGAGCTACTCGCAGCGAGATTTACCTTAACTGCCTCTAGCGCCTTAATCTTGGACCCAGAATCTTGCCTCGAAGTCGCCTTAAAGGACCCTGAACATAGAGTATTTTTAGTGGATCCCAATGCATACCGACGATAAGATGTATATTGGGTTGAGCCTTCGTATTGACGGGCTGAACCATCGCTTGAGAGGTCCACACCATTACCTGTATGACCCATCCCAAGAATTACCTGGCCTGACCCTGAAGATTTGTTGGGTCGATCCAGATACTTAATGGTGTGGTCCAGTACAGCTATGACCTGGACCAGATTTGTACTGGTCTATCCCA